GGCGCGGTGGGGCGGGGCCAAGGTGAGAGAGAACGGGAAGGGACCGCCCATTCAGGGTCGGGGGTGGAGGAATTTGATCCAACTCCATCCGGGCATCTGCTCAGTCGGACTTTATTCCAGGAGCCCTCGGGGGTCCCTTCGACCACCCGGTCGCCTCCCCGACACTCTGCAGTCCTGGCCGTGATGCCGGCGAGGGCCAGGGCACCAGGGCACCTCCCCGGGCAGAGGGCCAGCTTGGGTCCCCACGTGCCCCACTCCATGGCTTTCCTTCAACCTTGGGGGCTCCTCCCCGCCCCCGCTGCCGGGTCCTCTCTGGGAAGGAAGCTGAGTCCCCGAATCCCAACAGTAAAGTGCGGTGCCCATTTGCAGGGCTGGAATCAGCCATCAGGGGGACGTCGGGGGACGCTGAATACTTGATCCTCTCAGAAGCGGGTGTCCAGGAAGGAAGAAGAGCCTCGGTGGGCTCTGGGGGGGCCCTCAATGGGGGGGCCCCGGGCCCGAGTCAGGAGCCCGTGGAAAGTCTTGCCACGGGTCTGGGGTTTGCGCCTTGGAGACCTGGACTCCTCTGGGGGCTGCACCACAATCCGAGGCACCTCGGGCCTGGCGCCTCCTCGTGCCCCTGCCAGCTGCTGGGCCTCGAAGATGGCCTGGGCCCCAGCCAGGCGGGCCTGCGGCCGAGGGGGCGGCCCGGGGGCTGACTGGGGCAGCTGGGCCATCTGGACTCTTATCTCCCTCTGCAGGTCCCGCTCGGACAGCGCCACGCTGTGCACCTGTGGGGGACAGTTGGTGCCGAGTTTGCCTGGACTCCAGGCGAGGGAGGAAACCACGCGGTCCCCGTGGGGCGGGCAGTGCACAGTCCCAGGAAGTGGCTGAGGCTGAGGGGCTGATAGACAGTCTTGCAAGGGGAGCCACAGAAAGTCACTTGAGGCCTGGGGTTTTCGCGTTCTCTGCAGCTCAGAGGACAGGAACTGAGCCCCGGGCCTCGCTTGGGCTTCCCACTCTGGGACTCAGTTTCCGCCCCTGCCACCCCATGCAGCAGGAGCTGGGCCATTGCAGAAGGCAGGCAGGGGGCACCCACCTGGGCCATGAAGGCCTCCTCCTGCAGCTGGGCGGCGGGGATGGCTCGAAGGGCACCGAGTGTCTCCAGGAGGCCTGGGCAGGCCCCGCGCTGCTCTGCAGTTCCCAGCGCCAGGCGCACCAGGGTCAGCCCCACACGGAACAACACCTTGGCACCTGCAGGCCGGGGGCACGCTCACTGGAAGGCTGGCCCTGTCTCTCCTCGGTTCTACCCCAGAACTTGCCCTCAGCCTCAGGCTTGCCACCCTCCCAGGCTCAGGTCAGGAGCGATAACGGAGGGGGGGGTGGCAATGTGGGGGGCACAGGCCCCTGCGCCGGCCAAGTCTGTCTCGAAGCCCCAGACACCCTGGGACAA